TTGATTTCATCATCCAACATATATTTTAGACAAATATACTGGTAAAATAACCCATGTAGGATACGCCTACAGGTTTTGTTGATGTGCTTATCGAACGGAAACAACACTATGCATTCCTATACGGCTAATATTAAATTTGATTTAATCTTTCATTTGGTTTTTGTAAATTAACGTGCCGGTAGTTTTATGTTCATTGTAAACGGATATGTGCAAAAGTAATAGAACAATATATGATATTGAGCTAACAAAATTGGTACATTGACTATATCGAAATGTTAAATTATTTTTTAAATACTTTTTTAGTCTGTACGTTCTACAATCATTAAAAAGAGTGAACGTATGAAATATTAAATTTTATATTTCTCAAACGTTTACTCGATTACTAATCCTAGTGCCTTATGATTTTTGTCTGCTTTCGAATGATGTTTACAAAAACGGCGTTAATAACCGGCAAATCAATGCATGTGTTTAGTTAGGTATAAAATATACAAATCCACAAGTGTCCACAATATTATGAAAACTATGACGGACGGTTTTGACGAGGTTTCGCACTGCAGTGAATAGTTAGGTCTTCGCATGTCGTTATGATAATTCATGACTATTAATGGCTTTTGATTTCATTTAAATCGGAATCGGGTGGTTAGACAAAAAAATCGCCATAATACTATACAACGAGTGTTACTTACGTTTATTGTACTGTACTTGAGACTACGTTCAAGCTAATTGAAAAGGATCTAATAAAAATCTATTTTCAAACAAAATATTATGTAAAAATAAAAAAATTAAAAGCTATTGAATTAAATATTATTTATTTATTACAATAAATACGTTATTCGATTTGTTTCAGTTTTCAGTCGTTTTTTAATACATTTTTCCCAACTATTAATTTAATCTATGCACTTTCTAAAATTATCCCAGTTATATATTATTATATATATATATATATATATGACATTTCTTTCTGTCGTCTAGCTGGATTTGTAATTTCGTTTAATCATAATTTTTTTAACTGTATAGACTAATTAATTTATAAAAATATTTAATAAGTCTAAAAAAACATTTATATAAAATATAATTATTTTAAAACTGGCTCTTAGTATATTGTGTACGTTGATCCTATTATATCCAGGTATCTTCTGGCTTCCAAATAGTATTTTTAAAATTTGTCACTTTTGGACTTGCCATGCATTTCCAACTCGATTATTACATACTTCTCATATGTGTCAATTGCGATTAGGTAATTTTTTTCTAGAGATGATTTTACCGTCTTTTGCGGCGGACGAGCAATATAATTATATCATTTTAATTTAACCGTTCTACAACTACAACAGTCTACTCTATTGTTTAGTGATGTACGGTATTTACACGACACCCAGAAATTAATGATCTTGACCCCGAGCGCGTGCAAAGGTCGGGTAATAATATAATAAATATCATTGTATAGATTTAATATGCTGTTGAAATAATAATGCATGGTTTATGAATCCTTGAGAGTGTGAATAAGTTCATTATGCATATGTTTTATATATAACATGCGCACGTGGTCATTACGTATACTATAATACGTATATATTACTTATATATTGTATTATAAAATTGTATTTTCTATCACAAATTACCCATCAGGGTATGATCGTAAAATAATAATTAAAGTATATTGTACTTAAAAATAGATAACTGTTATGGGCCGTTTGGTTAATTATTTTACCTTCTATTACTTTCCCCGAGTTTAAACAAATTATCAGCTATAAATGCGTTAAAACTTTCGGGGATTGATATATCCGAAACTATTCCAAATGAAATTATCAATTTATTTATTTTTTCAAACTGGGGTAATACTTGATGGTTCATTACCTATGAGCCACATTATATACAAACAGTAATATTAATTTTGCTCATAGATCCCATAATATATGAATTATAATGAAACGTTCAATTTTACTGATATTAATAATTAATGTCGCGTCATTAATCCAGTTTTATCGCTTATTTTTTTATTTATTAAAAATAAAAATAGCTAAAATTTATAAGTGGAATTGTTTTCACTTGACAATAACCTGTTTTTATTTTTACTTGATCCGGTTTATTTTGTTGGATATGCAATATTGCCATATTTTCGGGTACACGCCAAACAATTGCTCGGTTTGGGTTTTTGTCAAATGATTCTTCCTTTTCGATATTTTTCTATGTAAACAAATAATTAATAATAATTGGCGTTAGCTGTATGAAGTGGAAAGGGAGTATATTCACTTATAGTTATGAGAAAATATTTGAAATTCCTTGCCCTCTGGCTAATAACCTTCTTGTGACGTATAGTTCTATAGCGTGTGTTTAAAAGTTCAAAGTAAGAAAAACAATTAAGGCACATGCGACCAAAAACTTAATGTAGTCATATTTTGACGGTGAATAGAGATTTCCTCTTTCAGTTAAGTTGTCTTAAGTGTGTTGATGGAGTTGATCTTAGACATTTATCAAACAAATTTCTCACACTTTAAACAATCGTGTTTGTCTTTGAAATCTGTCTGTCATTAAACTGTTCGTTAGAAAGCGCTTAACAATTTTGTTGTTACTTGTGAAAGAGCAGGTTCCTCTCGTCCTCCATTTCTTTTTTCTTTTCAAGATACCTAGGTGAAATGTGAATTACTGTCATTTGACTAATCGTCTCACAACAATATATAATAACAGTGCGTTATAATAGTCACCCACGTTTTTTTTTCATAGAAAGTCAAAAAACAAGTAAGGACGTATTTTACATTTTTTTCTGACGAGTTGTAAACATTTTTGAAGGCTCGAGAATTCAAAAAAAAAAATAGTTTTATAATTACTAAAAATAGTATAATATTATCTGATCTGTTCGGAATTCAATTGTAATTATAATGCCACGCGATAACAATAATAATATTATAATCCATCTTGCATATGTTTTTTGTGTGCAATTTATGTCAACGACCTTGTGATAGGCGTTTTGTTTCTACTTAAACATTGTTTTCATTCACAACACAATCGCGCCATGCACTCAAAACGGTACTTGGAGGTGGCACACAATGATTTCGAGATCGTCAAATCTTTGCCAAGCTACATAAGCGTTTCTAATAAGCTGGTTGGAATAATAAGGAGCAGCGCTTCCGGTCAACACTAATAATAATAATAATAAAACGTCGAATTTAATTTAAAATCATCATCGTCTTCCGACCTTGTAAATATATTTTGTTGTATTTTTTGTGATAATACCGTTTAATTCTCCTAAGTATTATCGTTTTAGTCATATTGACTGACTATGAAAGTCATATTGACGTCATTTAACTGGGTACAAGCTGTGAAATAATATTTTGGCCATATTTGGAATCTATCGTTTAATTTTGTACGAATATGTGGTTGTCACAATTTACTATAATCGGCAATCGGTTCATAAGTCTATTTTAACTAAATTCTAAATAATAATAAAAATGGTAGAGGTCAGTTATCAACTAAATTGAATAATAAGTAATAATTACTTTATTTTTGAAGTTTAAACAGTACGTTAACCTTTTAAGGACTTTTTTAATTAAAAAAATGTTTAGTATTTAAGATTAAACAACCATTCAATCGTGTATAAGGGATTTCCAGAACATTAGGGAGTAACTATTTAAGTGCTACGATGCTAATTGTTCTATACAAGTGTTAGTTTGCTAAAAAATTATGCATTTGGTTGGTTTATTCTGATAGTGAATTATTGTTATCTTAATCGTGCAGTCGTTTATTACGGAAAGCATTAAATTGTTTTTTTTTAACAAGACCAATATGAAAATGGTATGGATGGATTATTATAAACGAATAATTGTCACAGTGATATATACAATTGCTAATATGTGTCATTGTTTTTTCAACAATGGTGTCGTAGTTCCGTGGATACAAAACGTGTATTATCGAATTTGTCGAATTAACTATAGAAAGGATGTCGCTGTGATAGAATTGTTTAATGTACATCGTGCATAATATTATCTATGAGCTGAAATACTATTTTTTATTATTATGTCTTGGTCAAATGTCAAATTGTGTTTACCGGTTTATTGTTCAAATTTTTTTCTCTACCACTAGAATGTGTAAAAACAAAATTAACAATCTATTTATTAGTTATTGATCCTGTTTGAGGTGTGATCATCTTTGCCGACAGTGTTTAACATTGACATTTAACAAATTACAACGACAGAAACACGCTTTATAAAGGCACTTAATGTTTCGTTCTATCGTTTATTACCTACATTTCGATTAAACAGAATTCAAGTAGCTAAAGACATTGTACATTATTTTTTTTTGTACTTTTGACAATACAAAATTAACAAAAAATTAAAACGGGTCAGTTTAATTAATTTACAACTGTAAAAAAATGTGAAATAATTCTGTGAAAAACCCAATGACGTTAGTCCAGACCAGTATTAATTAGTAATAGAATACAAAATAACTATTTTAACCATTTTTTTAGCAAGGTCGTAATGTCTTAAGTTTGAAAAAAACCTTGTTTAATATTTTGTTTGTTATTATTTTTGCTCAAAAACCTATTTTATGCCAACAGTATCGATAGCCTGATCGTATTTTGATTCTATCAAACTATAGACTTTCTACAGTTAGCCTAATCCTCAGGTTTCTAAAATTGAATTTCCACATATTATATATATATATATATATATATATTGTATTTTAAACCTTAAATTTTGGTAACTTAATAAGTAAAAATAAAATAAATGTTTATCAAAATCACATTACTCTACGCGAGGCGTTATCATTTTCCCATAGTCTTTACAAATTAATTAAAAAATAATAAGTTAACATAATTCAAATGTATAACTATGTTGTTGACAGTGAAAAAATCAGAACATGTAATACTATTGTTTTGCAAAAAAAATCTTTTTCGATTAATAATTATTATTTTGGTTTACTCTAAGTGATAAAAATTAAAAAATGAATTTTACACCTTATACAATTGTTTATTTATATATTAATTGTATTCATTTTTTTTTCAGCTCGGCATAAAAATTAATGAGCTTGACAACAAGGGCGATTCGGCGTTAGACTTGGCTCTGCGTGACCATCAAACAAGCATTGGGGAAATGTTATGTGAGAATCAAGCCGATTTGGATTTGCGTGATCGAAACGGTCATACGTTACTACATTTAGCTGTACAAAGAGGCGATTCGTATGCCGCAAACTTCTTGTTGAGTCATGGCGCTTCTGTGAGCACTGTCACACCCGACCAAGGCAACACAGCCCTTCATCTGATTGCCAGTTCGTCATCTCATCCCGATACCAGCGAATCCACTGCTGCCATGACCGCTGTGGCTGGAACGTTGCTCAAATCTGGACTAGATCCGAACTTGCCCAACAATAATGGATTGTAAGTAGAGCCTCTTCTTATTCACGCAAAATACGTGAAACCGAATGTCTGATTCATGTAACTGACCGATAGCTCTAATTGTTATCTTAACTTCTCCGTTGTATACCGAGTATTTTTAAGGGGCTAAAGTTTTTTTTTTTAAAAATGATCTTTTATTTTTCAGTACGGCTTTGCATTTAGCCGTTTTAATTCAAAATGATGACATATTTACACTGCTTTTGGAATATGCAGAGTCTGGCAAAATCAATCTTAACGTCCAAACGGTTGACGACCACACTCCTTTGTACTATGCTCTAATCAATACGCTCAAACTGGAAGACGAAGAGAGTTTTGCATCACGGTTAGTTGCGGCCGGAGCCAATCCTAATCCGGTAATACACTCTTGACACTTAGCTAATGTTAATTGTTGTATTTATATCAACATGTCAATTACTTTTAGATTTATAGGAAAACGTCAGATTCCATGTTGCATAAAGTAGCTGACGAAGGTCTCGAAGATGCAGCTCTTTTCATTACAACCCGTTGTGATAATATTAACTACACAAACAGAAAAGTATGACAATACTACAAGAAACAAAAATAATTAGTAATTACAATTTTTTCATTTTATATAATTAAATGATTTTTTGCAGGGAGAAAGCGCTTTACATATAGCGTGCAAAAGAGGACTGTCGCGTTTAGTACGACGTTTGCTAGAATTTCACGCAAACCCGAATTTGCAAACATTACCTCCCGACAGTATTATATTGAGCACTGACGATGGCTTACAAATAGCGTATAGACTAACGCCATTGCACACGGCTATAATTCACAAACAAGAAGGGGCCGTGAATGCTATTTTACATCATCATAGTAAGGAAATAGCTATTGTTGGTTATTACTAAATTTTGATGATGTAATATTTTTTTCCCTGTTAGATACGATTTTAGCTGAACCAAAGGATGATTTTTCTTCTGTTAATTTAAACCTACGAGATTCGTTGGGAGATACGCCTTTGTCATTGGCATTAAAATCTGATATGCAACATATAGTTCCTGATCTCATTGCGGGTAATTGTTTGCGCTTTTTTTCTATAAATATTAAAGTAAATATACTTTGACAGTTGTGTAGTGTATAATAATTGCATTTTTAAGGTGGAGCTGATATCGATATGAGAAACGGAGAGGGCATGACTCTCCTCCATCAAGCGATACTAATTGGAGACGAAAAAACGGCTTTATATTTAGTTAAACAAGGATCAAATTTTGATTCAAAGTGATTATTTTGACAATTATTCTTTTTGGTAATAAACAAATTTTTTTTTTTTTTTTTTAGAACTCAAGATGATCAAACACCGCTGGAACTTGCTGTAGCTGGCGGTCAGAATATTGTTGTTGAAGAGTTATGTAAGCGAGGTGTTGACATGACCACTCCTGCTTCTAACGGTGATCCTATTCTTTGGCTTGCTTTAACTGCCGATCAAGAAGACATTGCTTCCACCCTAGTCAAGTAAGCTATTCCTCTCCTCGATTTATAGCTAAAACGTTTTAAAATGCTGTTTATTTAAGGTATGGTGTTGATACTGATTCATGGAGCGAAGGCCCAGAAGGATGCTTACAGACTCTGCTGCATCGTGCAATTGATGAAAATTCAGAAAACGCTGCTCGTTTTCTTATTCGCAGGTACGATTAATTGTAATTAAATTGTACTCTAACCTAAACTAATAAATACTCTGCTGTCTGTACTTTTTCAGTGGCTGTGATATAAATAGTCCTCGAAAACCTGGACCCGGCGGTCGAGGAGGTGAAGAATCCAAAGACTTATCTTCTCCTTTACATTTATGTTGTCACTGGGGACTTCAAACTGTTGTGCAAACACTATTGGAACACGGAGCCAATGTTAATGCTTGGGTAGTAATTTGCTTTCGAAATACACACTATAATTGTAACTTTGATTCTATCTTCATTGTCAACGCTAAAAAGACTAAACAATCATGACGTTTTTCTAATAATTATTTGTTTTATATTATCACTTGAACGATATAACTAATTTTTGCAAAGCATAGTTGTTTTAAATGACTACCTTGAGAAGTCTGTTATAAAAAAAAAAAAAAATTAAGAAACTAATTACAAAATGAACAGAGAATAATTTATTTGCCTTCAGGATGCTGAACATAAAACACCTCTTCACGTCGCTATTAAGAATCAGCACAGTGGCATCATAACCTTGTTGCTTTGTCATCCGTCAATTGATTTGACCAAGAGGGATCGTACGGGCTTAACTCCTTTTGCGGCTGCGTTGACTTGTCGAAATGACAAAGCCGCTCGTTCAATACTAGATAAATTGCCGGCAGCTGCAGAACAAGTAATTCGCAAGTTATAACTTCAAATTGGTTTAAATATATTAACTTTCAATGTGTGTATTTGATGTTAGTTTGACAACAAAGGATGCAACTTTTTACACATGGCAATCCAAAAGGGTGATATTGAAAGCGTGCTGTTTTTGCTCTCGGTAAACGTGGACGTTAATTCCAGAGTCCAAAACGAATTACAGACTACACCTCTACATTTAGCGGCTGCGTCTGGTAATGAAATGTTGGTGCGCAGTATCATTTTGGCTGGAGCCAGGGTACGATAAAATTTGTCAGTACGCTATTTTCTGTTTTTACATTTTATTCAAGTTCAAACGTTTACTATTAGGTCAACGATCAAGATACAATGAAGAGAACGGCATTGCATGTAGCCAGCGAAGCCGGCCACGCTTCTATTATTACCGCCTTATTGACCAACAACGCTAATTTTGATGCGGTCGATTGTGAAGGTTTGTTATAAATTTAAAACTAAAAACTGCTACTTACGATTATTTATATCATTTTTGAAAATAGGACAAAATGCATTACACATTGCTTGTCGTGAAGGACATTTGCAAGTCGTACAAGTACTGTTGGCTGAATCTCAGATAAACGCCGAAGCTATGACCCTAAAGTGTCGCAATCCTTTACACGAACTGGCCAAACACAGTAAAGAAAGTGCTGCCGCAATATGTGAGGTGTTTTTGGAATACATGCCCAAATATCCATTAGAAGTTCAAGACAGTGAAGGAAATACAGGTATGAAAATTTTAAGTTAAATGTTAACCACAACATTTACAGTTGACTGTAATTACTTTATTTTGCAGCACTTTTGTTGGCTTATATGAAAGGCAATGGGAACTTGTGTCGAACATTAGTGAAAGCTGGTGCTTGCGTGGGTGCAATGAACAACGATGGCATTACCATTTTCAACTGTCAAATGGCCACTACACAGTTGCTGTCCAGGTATGAATATAGGATAAGTAAACTTAATGACAGATTTACATCTCGTTTAGTGTCAGATCAAGCCGGAGTGCAGTCAATAGAGTTAAAATCTATGGGCCGTTCTGATGAGAAACTCGATGAGTCGTTTTTGATAAGCCACTTCAATCTAACCTTGAGAGGACGCCAAACACATATTTTTGTGATAAAAATAATGCGTTTGTATTTCAAATGCTACAAAGTCTTAAATGAACATACACACATAAGTATTATACTGTTGGAAAGGTGATAAGTTCTACCGTGTTTTGTCGTGTTACATTTTCTTAATTGTAATTATTTTCTTCCATATATGCAAATAAATATTACTATATTATGATATTTTTGGTAAGCCGTAATGCTTGCTTTTTGGTACTATTTTCAAAATCTGATGGAAACAAACAATTATTAATAAAACATCATTAAACTCATCATTTTTTAAATGGTGTTTCCATTTTTACTTTTTATTCACTTTAAACTTCACAGTATTTTATCTACAATTGTTTGATGGAAAAAAATTGTAATTTTAACTAAAGAAATGACTGTGATAGTCTAACAAAAAAAAAACTACTAGTAATACTAATTCTTGTTACTGTATTAACAAGTATACACTTGTATACTACACTTGTTTTTATAGCTCTAAATTAAGGTTTTGTGAAAAACTGTCTTATACTCTAGTCCTTAATAAATAAATGGTATGGCGTCCTCTTAATCTCTATCTTCTAAATGTTATTTATAAGACAATTTTTTAAAAAACAAAATTTAGATTACTCGATAGCCTGACCAAAGAACCGCCGTGGGTCGAAGGATGTGAAGTGTGTCAAGAGTGTGGCATGAAATTTGGTTTTACCATGCGTAAACACCATTGGTACGTAAAAAATCTTACATACGTCTTATTACTATTATAATAGTCAGCTGATATGTATTCTTATTTTACAGCCGCCATTGTGGTAGACTATTGTGCAGTAAATGCTCCAGCCAAGAAGTTCCTATCATAAAGTACGGCCTTGTTAAACCTGTCCGAGTGTGCGTATCGTGCTTCCAAGTCTTGCAGGGAGTTTAAAAAATAACCTGTGTAATCCCTCAAAATATGTATACTTAAATATCAAAAGGAGAATGTAACCAATCAGTTTGTTATTATTTAATATTATTATTGTAACCACTATATTATATTTGGTTTGATACAAAGAAGTAAAACAATAAGAAACAGAATATTTATCTACATGTTTCTATTTGTCAAATTCATGTTAAATTTATTTAGAACTATTCCAATTTACTGATAATTTGTTTATTAATATGTCAGTTTTATATTTTGTATTTATTTATATATTTAACCTTTTATTATTGCTGTTAATCGCCTATAATTTTACTATTATAAATTCATTTTATTATTTTTTATACTATTAAATTATTTGTTTAAATTAATGTTAAATATAAAGTACATTAAATCTAACAATCATTATGAATTCTTAATAATCACTGCTTTTTCTAAATGTCATGAAATATAGCTGTTATTACTGTTTTAATACAGGACGGCTAACACTGTAACCACACAACACTGTTCTCTTTAAAAATCTAAATGAAAACTTAGTAGAACATGAGGTTCAATTTTTCATCGGATAACTTACTACAAAAATCAATGAGTTTTTGTAATAAGTTTCAACTGTCTCACGTTAATGGTATTGATAATACTATTTTCGTGTATTGATAAATGAATTATTATAAAATCTACGGTTGTATTGAAGACATGTCCAATGTAATCTTAAAAATATTTTAACTATTTATGGGTTTATTAATTGAGTATTAATAAAATTAGTGAGTAAGATTGAAAATTGGCGAGCAAATTACCGGATGAGCGCTTTTGAATATATCGTTGGCATGGAGGGGCAGGTTTTGAAACTAGATGTCTTAATTAAACTAAAACAATCGACCTAGTTAAAATCTTCTAACATCAGCTGCTGTATTGATATAAACGTCTGAACTCTAAACAAACGTAATATTCCACGACCTTTGAAAGTAAGATACCGGAATTGGTAACCGACAAAAACATATTATTATTATCATCTTCTTATACATAGTAAATAATAGTTAACTAATGCACATACTTACGAATTATAGCGCCCATTCTGCCCATTTTTTAAGAGTAAAGTATAGGCAATTTTTTTACAAAATCTCAACTTAAAAGTTATACTGTGATGTGTAATTAGGACTCTTTTTTAGTAGTTTTTGGACTACCATAACATCCTTGGCAGGGATTTAAAAAAAAAACTGTCTCACTTTATTGTTACAGCTCTTCTAAAATAATTGTCTTACATGAATATGTTACTGAATACCATTTGAAAGTTAAGAACATTATATGTGTCGCCTCGACGAGATTTTTATAATAACTTGGTATTAAAACCAAAATGAGTTCTTGAACAATTATTTTTTTGTACCTGTTTATTAACTTCAGATGACATAATTAACTTTGCTGTAAGACAATTTTTGAAAGAGTTGTATCAAAAAAACTAACTCATGTTTTTACATCGTAATAATGCATGTGAGGCGTCCTCTTAACGGTTAACCTCTGCCGAATACCACGATTTCACTTCTAAGTAGCGAGTAGAAAAATCGATCAATAAATGTACCAATTACCTAGGTTAGGTTACCTAACCAATTACCAAGAATATAATAATCTATTCTTGGGTTTAAGCTTGTGCAATTTGTTATACTGCCGCTTTTACCGGTATTAAAGTATACAACACAAGTATTCCGTCTCGGTATTAATAATAAGATATTATTATCCAACAGCAGCTTACCGACCAAGTGTGCGTAAATATTTCAATAAAATCGTGTTTATTAAGAGCCAAATGTGTTTTGCGAATTGTGTGGCAAAATGCGTAGGTAAACCGTGTAAAAGCGCTTGTCAAGAATTCAGAGAACGCTTTTTATTATAAAACTGCTGCGGGTAAAATACTACAATATCGTTGTTACATGATCACCACCGCGGGTAGGTTAAGGCAGCTCTATACTTAAATTATAATTATTGTATTTTGCATGTCATGACGGGGACTGGGATTTATTTTTAGACGGATTTAAAAATATTTTGATTTGAAATGTTTCGGCGTTGAAGGTCGAACAAACAATTTGAAACTGATGAAAATTTGTAATTATATTTTTCAATAAGTTAGTGATTAAAAATAAAGTTTGTCTTGTCGTCAAAGTGTTTAATTTTCTCAAAATAAATCAACGGGTTATAAATTTAAATAATGTATGTTATCTATTTACGAAAAGTATGTAAGCGATCCTGAAATGTCGACGTTATCTTTAGTTAAAGAGTGAATTAAAAAGTGCATTGTTGTTTTTAAACAAATAAAGTAATGAACTCATTAAATATACTAGTAATTTTGCATACCAAATTTGATATGTATATTGAACACTTATAATTAAACTTTAATAAAAAATAAACTATTTCTGCCTCAGATTTTCAGAATTATAAGTTATAACTGAAAATAATATAAAGATAGCCTTTTAACTGTTATTTATCAACAAGAATTGTTTTCTATGCAGTACACGAAAAAGAATCAAATAGGGCTAACATGAAATAACCAAAGTCAAACTCGTAACAGACAATTAAGTTTTTTTTTAAATTAATTTATATTCTAGTATTTTCAAAATACATTATTTATAATGTAGTACTTAAATACTTGGTCAGCTGTTGTGTACTTCGTAAGTGGGGTTAACTAAAAAATATAGAAAACAAAGTCCTATCGATTGTGCTTTTAAATTAAGTATAATTTTTAAGATACCGAAAATCTAAATGTTTTGTTTTTATTAAGTGATAATTTATGAGCAGACGCTTAATTTTTGAACGACAAAACGTACGCATGCCAAAAAAAGTTCTGTGTGACTTAATTAAAATTCACAAATAAATTAACAATATTATCTACAATCTTGAAAATGTATTTAAAATTCTCATTTGTTTACTGAAAAATGACAACCTTTTTTTCTACCGCATATACATAATGTAGTTGTAGATTTCAAGTAAAAAATATTATGTCTTATTATACTATTTTATATTTTGTAGTTCAAATACCAAAAGTATTTTGCCGAAATCTGGGTACCTGTAATTTAGATGAAGATTAACGAATTAACTACGGCGGGACTGGTCCCCTGATTAGTATAATATTCAGTTTTTTTAACTGCAAATGGCAACTATATACACTGGACCAACTAACAGTGACACACTATGTACAAATAAATGAGTAAATACTAATATTTATTGAATATTGTGCACATTTTGCATGATTTCAGATTTGTATATTATTTGAAGTTTACTCCCGTTTAAACCGAGATCCGGATAAGTATAATAATATATTTTATATTATAATATTATGTATTATTTACGGTTATAATGTGGTCTAACCTCTTCTGTTCGATACTGCGATGCATGGAACGATCTTTGGTAGATGTGTTGTTAATTAATAACAAGTATTATAACACCCCCCTAAATTTATTATTCGAAGGGAAATGAAACAAGAGCAGGAAAGGATAACGCCAGATTTTATCCGGGTTCGGCATTCCTGTAGGAACAGGATCTGCTGCAGACGTTCCCCGCCAAAATAATTCACATATTTCTTCCATTTCCAGCCAGAATTTAAGATATAAATCAAAGCATAGTATTAAAAGCAACAATATAATCCTTGGAAAATTATCTCTCGTTTTATCTTTATTTAATTCGTTTTTACACTCAAGCTACATCGAATTCTTACCACAAGTAATGAAATCCTGTTGGCACAATATATTCTTCTATACGCTTATAAAAGCCCATATTTCTCTCCATTCTCTTATTTTCTACTGCTCTAGTTCTTGTTAACAGGCTGTTAATAACAGCTACGGCTAAATAAATACTATTATTAAGAGGTACACTTCATTTTTGTTCATTAAGAGATTCGGTATAGGCAATTTTTCGTTAAATCTTTCCATATTCAATTTCAAAGCATTAATTTGAAAGTGATTTTATAATTATTGTCATCTGTAATAATTTCTAAGGCTTGTGATCTCCCCCATATTCAGTGGTCCGTCCCCGTTATTACCCGCCCCTCTGTGCTGGCTTTTGTTTTTAAATAGGATATTGTGTAGATAATTGGTGTTAAAACATACTATTATATTTAAAAAAAATACAAGCAATTACATCATCTACCTTTAGCGCTTCGGGCACTTCCCACGTTGTACGATTACAACGAAGAGGTACTCGAAGCCGGTTACAGACAGCCGCCGTTGGAGTCTAAGATAAAAAGCAGCGGTGCTGTTTGTTTGAGAATGGGTTATTAACGGTTAGTAGCAGATTCATGTGTTTGAGTGCTTTGAAATAGCAATAAATTTAAATTAGCATAAACCAGAATAGGTACATGTGTCCTGACAACTACATAAATAATTAATATCATTTATTTTGCACAATTCGAAGACTTAATAGCATGAGATTTGCATCGAGTCTCCTTAAAGGCCGCCACTTTACTAGGTTATAACTTCAGTACATGAACCATCCAGCGACACGCGGTATTAGCACAGAGTAAGTAAAATATAGAAAAAAACGAAGCACTCGCAGTCGTGGAACTAAATACAAACCGGAAAACGAAGCATTCCTATTTAACCAGTGTAGATTTTGTCCATTTATAATAGCGTTGTTTTATTAACAACTATTGAAAGCGATCAGATTTAATCATATGAGGTGTCAGTAAATCGGGAGAGTTGTGTAGATTACAACTTTTCTTTTTAAAATTAGTTAGGTTGTATACTTTCTTAGTTACAGAAAATATGTACAACATTTTCGAAACCTCGAAATATTTCTTTTAGTCAAAATTATTACATTAAAACTAAGAAATTCATTCGAAACATTGCCTTATAGCTCGCAGTCTTATAGAGTATACACTGATCTTAAAATTGCTTTCATGTTGAAAACCACACATATGTTAAAAAGTATAACAGCTATAGATTATCATTTTGGTCGATATACCTTGAACTTAAAACTTCAAATTTGTTATTATCCAGTAGATATCTAGGAGCAAACAAAAAAATCCACCGTTTACTTAATGATACAACGCAGTGAACAGTAAATAATTATTAATCTAAAAATGTTACATTGTTTGAATTTCCATAATGTTTGTTTGTAAGTACTTGGAATAGTATTTAAACGGTAGAATATCGCATAACTAATCATTTAAATTAATGTTACAATATTTATTTATATAATGATTAAAATCTATATGTAAAAGACTGAAAAACAAGATTTTTGTGCGCGGTAATCTTAGAAGACTTATTTTTTTTATTTGTAGAGAGAAGGTTAGGAGAGGCATG